TTCACCAACCAGGAGTACCTATTGTCAGCACCTTTGGTTCTCCAACATATTCTCTAGAACAATACCTAGCTTCTTTATTAACTGATAGTTTCGTACTTAGTGCCTTTCGTTTGCATTGCATTATATACACAAGATATTCTAGTTAGTTTCGACGTACAATCGCTGTCTAGAACTGTATTTTTTTTGTAACGGTCATATTTTTGAACAAAGGTCGGGAACAGCATGGGTTCTCCATTATTACCATTCATGTGGTATACTCCCTAACATACCATTTACCATTGAATTAGAAACTAATAATAAATATTCTTATCAATAGAAAATCAGACCTAACATTGGGTCTTTGGGTTTACAGAAAACATGGTCACATCACCATCCGGCCCAAAAATCAACGGTTATCAACTTTTTGTTTACAGCGCCATAAAACTGTCTCAGCGCGAGTCACTGAACCCAAGATTAAAACACCTTACCTCTGCTCTTTTCTCACTACAACCTTCCAATAGCAATGAGCCCGAAAGCAATTCCTGACATGCGAGTGTAACCCTTTCTTTCATTCAAAATATCACTGACGATTCGTCAAAAGTTCTAAAGAAACATAACGTCAAAACCAGATTTACCAAAAATCTCTTCGATCTTTGCCGATTCGAAAATTTTATCCGTATAGGAGCTTTTATTTCTTTTTTTACTCCCGTCTGTAAAATACCTAATTATCCAGCGATCTAGCGTGCGGGAAGCGTCACTTTGCCACGTCAGTTTCGTTTCCCATGAATCCGAGCCACTTCGGACATTTCCCGGATTTTACCGCACGGCTTTTGGAGCAATCGGATGTTTTTGGAGATATTTTCCACGCTTTGAATTTTGACGTTTGTCAGTTCTGACGGTCATGTCAGTGAATGTATTCGTGTTGTTTTGCGGAAATGTATCCAATAACTAACGGTCGTAGAAAAAGTATAATATGCAACACATTCGGTAAACTTTTTAAGTCACTCGTTTATTAAACCCTCGCTCCGCTGCGCACCGCTCGTGTTAAATAAACTCGTGAGTCAAATTGCCGTTTACCGCACTTATATTATATTGCATAATGTACAAACATTACGATTTGCAGTTTGAAGTCTTCTATTACTATTTTTAGATAAACGTTAGAAACAGTTTTAAACGAAGATTTTATGCACTAATTAACCAAACAAGATAAGAAAAAGAACAGGAAATCGAAGTATGACTAATTATTATGAGTTACTCGGGAGGATCTAATCTTAACACGAAAAAATCAATATGGAATCCATCATAAACTAGTTTTCTAGTAGAATTAAGCCTTAGGTGAAATATGTCCAAGTGACTAAAATAGTGATTGTAGTTCTTTTGCATTAGAGGGGAGTGAGGAATTTACTGATTAATTGGTATTAAGTAGTCACATTAAAATAAAATTGAGTCAATTTGCTCACCTAATGTTTCAGGACATGCAAGAGTTTTTGGAGGTTTTCTATTCTACTTACGCATTTTAGATACGCGTAGTCCAAGTTTGACCTGACAAGTTATATAAAAGATTCACAGATTTGTTTCCCAAACAATAACTTGGAGTATAACATAACCGTGAGATCCTTGAAATACATAGTTTAAGTTGAACCTAGAAAAAGTAATTCGAGAGCATATATTGAAGGTAATCTTTACCCTTACTATATTCGGTAAAACTGAACACTATAATTAGTTATGGTTAGTTTAGTGTTTGACTCAGTTCAAGTTAAAGATGCTAGTGATTGTGTATGAAAGATAGGCGTCAATTTCGTGTAGTGGTCATAGGATTTTCTTTGAAATATAAGATTTAGAGGTTTTATATCCCCTTCTAGCCATGAAAATGATATCTTAAAATATCTTAAGACGTTCAGGTATTCAAATCTTTGGCACCATCTTATAATACTTGTCGACCTAATGATCACTGATATAATTTTCTAGTTGAATTGGTTAATTATTTAGAGTAAAATTTATTTTTGCAATTTTAAATTAAATTAAATTAAATTACGTATTTATTTATAATATAAATCCACTATGTATATAGCGTTTCTGAAACGTAATGAAGTTTTGAGAATTAAGAATAAAGAGAAAGGGTCCTTTAGAAATTTTCTGATGACTTTGTGGTATATTTATTACGAGCTGAAAGTCCATTAAATGTTTATTGTAGAATGTCGTTCAGTTATGCGCTTGTAAATTTTTAAAAGTAAACCTTTTCTGTTTTTTTGCCTGCAGAAAGTGACTAGTCGAAACCGTCCGAAAATAAAACGTGGTTTAATTATAACACTTTTGTGTCTAAAACCGGCCAAGGCCCGACGCGAGTACACGAAACCTATTTTCGAAGGCGTCGACATGTTTAAAGGACGGCGTCTCATTGTTTATATTTGTTACCCCCGCGTATACGCGACCCAAAATTGCATTAATTAGTTATTTATTTATTCAGTTCAACTTACCAACTGATTATCCAATACCAATTTACTTAAAAACTAGCATAAAATCCTCCTTTAGAAAGAGATACGAAAAATCTGCCGATTAAACATTCTGATATAAATTTTGTAATAATGCTTTTTTATCACTAAATATATTTGTTTCACTATGGTTTTGTTCATAAAGTAAGCCGCTATTTTTGGCATAGTTTTGGTTAGTGAAATATCTCAAAAAGTAAAGGGCTTAGATATGGGACATATGATAGGCCAATGGAATGAACCAAAAAAATACAGGTAGTTAAAATAAGCATGATGTTGCTTATTTAAATTGTTTAAATTTGTGCAGCTATAATATTCATCCTGTATGCATCATATATATTTTGAAAATTTGTCCTTGCGTACATAACGGGAACCTATGGTTAAATATGGTATTCATTTCGACCGTTCAGCTTGTTAAAACAGAAAAAAAAGTCATCTCGCAGTAACCCTGTCAACTGAATTTAAAAAATATTGCACCTCTAACTAAGACTCTTTCTTTGTTGTTATATGTATTATGTAATGTCCCATTTAAAAATACCCATACAAAATTTAACAACCAACTATTTTTTTAATGTATAAGTAAAAATAATTTTAATTTGTGACCTCTTTACCAATCTCGCAATTTTGGTTAAAATGTTTTTTCCCTTCTGTAAAATACTTAATTTTACCACTTCACTTCCGGTTCCCACTGTTCCGGGTCACTTTCAATATATCCGGGATATTATCGCCCGAGTTCGGGAGCAATCGGATGTTTTCGGAAATATATTTGACGTTTGTGAATTCTGACTGTCTTGACAGTGAATATATTCATGTTGTTTTGCATAAATATACTCAAAAACTAACAGTCGTTGTTATTTATTTATTTAACATGCTGGGTTAACAAGTACAAATTCCAAGTCCAAGGAGTTTTACATACACTCAATTTTTGGTTGCGCCTAGGTTTCTAAGAACCCGTATCTTAACACTCTATACTACCCCCTTACTTTATTATGCAACCATTTTGGGAAACTTTTTAAGTCACTCGTGTATTAGGCACTCGCTCAAATGCCTTTTACCACACTTGTGGTATAATATACCATATCTTACCGTTTATGAGCTATCTTTGCCGCACGTATTGTTGACTTACCCTGTATATATAAAATAAGACTAGAAGTTGAAAATGGCTTTTTTGAAACATTTTAGTTCCTGAACATTCCTCGGTTGCGATTTGAATTATTAGAGAGAGTTGTTACTGATTCCTTTTTGCTAAAAAACAGATCAATCCGAAAACGCAACAAGAAAACCATATTTTCTAAAAACAGAAACCAATTATGACTTAATAATCGCCCTGTATATGTTTGCGGACACGCTCGGTCGTGGGCCAACCTGCAAAACGCTCATTTTCACTATTATTATTATTATTATTATTATTATTATTATTATTATTAAAAGTCAATTTCCGATGTCGCTAAAGTTAGATTTGGATTTAGATTAGGATTTGCAAATGTGAATCAGTTCGTTACTTATCTTAATTTAAAACAGCATATCCTGTGGGTAAGTAAGCACGGAAATTTTATAAGGGATCTCCCAAAATAACCCCTTTTCCCCTCGCATCAACCCAAAAAATAATTTAATTACTATTTTGTAATCTCGAAATAATCTGACGTTGCCCCAGATATTCAACCAGACCATTGAAGAGCCACTAAGGGAGGCTTCAAAATGGTATATCGCTTAACCCCCTTGAAACTGCCGGGAAGACATAAAACTGCCCTTAATAATCAAATACCCAAAAGTATGATATATTGATTTCGCAATGTCAAAAAAATCTGATGTCTCAGATATTCAAACAGACTATTGAAGACCCACTTGGGAGACCTTCAAAATGATGTATTACTCAACCGCTTTCAAACAGTCTACAAACTACCCCCAATAATGAAATACCCAAAAGTTCGATATATTTATTTCGCAATCTCAAAAAAATCAAAACGATATATTACTCAACCACCTCCAAAGGTCGGGAAGATATAAAACTACCCCCAATAAAATTCCCCAATATCAAAGTAAATATTTGGTTTTGACTCGAAAGACTTTTTTGAGATTCCGAAATATACAAAACGAACATCATTTTGAAGCTCTACTAAGTGGCTCTTTAATAGTCTAATTGAATATCTGGGACAACGTCAGATTATTGGGGGTAGTTTTTTATCTTCCCGACGGTTTCAACGTGGCCGAGCAATACACCGTTATGCAGCTCTCCTAAGTGTAATAAGTAATAGTAATTAAATTATTTTTGGGTTGATGCGGGGGGAAAGGGGTCGTTCTCTCTATAGCAACATCGGATATGGTTTTTGGGAGTTTCTTTTCAATAAATCCGTGCTTACTTACCCACAGGAATATGTTTTTTTTTTAAATTAAGATAAGTAACGAACTCCGATCCAAATCCAAATCTAAATCTAACTTCAGCCACACCAATTTCCGCTAGACACGAAAAGGGGGGGGGGGGGGGGGGAAGGTCCGTTTTCGATGTAAATTAATTTGTTTCTATTTTTGCAGATTCCGACGTGTCGGACTACTCCCATCTCGGTAAGTGATGCGTCTTTTAATTTCTGCGCGTACCGGTTCGAGGCGGTTTCCCTTAACGAGGAGCCAGAGACGAAGCCGCAAAAAAAAACCATCCAATCGCCCTCAAATTGACCGGCAAACGGGGGGAAAATCGAAGCCGGTCACCAGCTCGCCGCGTGCTCGCTGGAAATCTCCTTCGGTTTAATAATAAATATTAAACAATTGATGGGATTCCGCGCGAGGCGATCTGTTCGGTAACGATTTTTTTTCGCGGAAAAGTGACGCAATATCGCTCTTTTTATATTGTCGATTTTTTCCTTATCCCCAAGGCAAGGCCGCCGTTGATTGGATTACCTAATTTAAAGGCCTCGGCGATTGGAACTGTGGTTATCGGCAGAAATTGCCACGGGGTGGGGTGAGAGGCACGACAACAATGGAAGGTGGAGGACATCCGCTCCGGCGGGTGGGCGGCTAGAATACCCACAGCCAACGTTTTATATCGTTTGCATCTTCGATTTACGAGGGTCGTTCAATAAGAGTTGGCGATCGTATAGTATCGAAAATGAATTTTTCCCATGAACTAGTCAGTTATTTTTTATAAAACTTCTGGATTCCTCCTGCGTCTGTTTTTGTTGACTCGAACTAGATAAATTTCGCCAAGCATCCTGTTGGCTTCTTCCGAGCTTAACTTGAAACTGACTGGCATTTTACTCTGTACCTACTTATTGTTGGTGACAGATAAAGATCTGAGTCGCGGTTAAGTTTGTTAGGTTGCTTGCAGATTTCTATAAACTCTCGGATTTTTCGTTGATAGAAGAATTGATTACATGCAAGAACTTTAGTTTTATCGTCCGGTCTCTCCAATGTATTCTTTGCCGCATATGCATGGAATGCTGTAAACTTCTGACATCTCAAAAATTTTTTTATTTGAAGGTTGTGGTGAAGTGTATTTTGTGATGGAACGCTTAATATTTTTATTGTGGAAATTATGGATGGTGATGCAACAATGCATTAAGGTATCTGTCTGCGTAGGTTTTCTGGAAGCACCATGACCCAATGTTAAGTCAATGTTGAATCGGGACAAAAATACGCATTTTCAAACTAAGAAAATCCTGAAAATTTAAGATTCAATCTTTACTTTTTCTTGGACTTATTTCAAGAGATATAGAAATGGGAATTTGAAATTTTTAATAGGACGTTGATTAGAGGGAAACTTGCTGAACCATAAAAAATATTTCTTGAAATAAAGTTTCAATTTTTAAACGAACACTAAGCACTTTTAACCCGTGCGTTTTAAATCATTTGATTATTAATAAAAATGACACGATGCGCCAAAAAAAATCTAACCATAAACTAATCGTAATTATCGATTCTCAAATCGTAGTCGCGAAAATTAAACGAACTGTCAAGGTCGAATTTTGAGAAATAAAAATACGTTTGCGAATAATTAAGGAACCCTCATATCTAATCGTTGTCATTTGTAAACTAAAAGGCTTGATTAAAATTACGAATACGTGATTGTGAATTATGAATGAAACGGGTATTCTTTTTGGCATACAACGTAATACTAATGACAATATGATTTCACAATTTTTTACTTGTTTGTGTTTTTTATTATATTTTATATTATATTTTTAACAATATCAACTCATCCTTATATATTTTGAATAACTACTAATAATTTCATGCTGGCGAGAAAAGGTTTTTTTTGGGGTACGTCTACTTCACATTTATCTGTTTTTATTTTATAAATAAATATTATCCATTTTATTAAATAGTGAACGGCTAAAGTGTGCAATAAATTTATTTAAAATCAACTATTGGATTTCAAGAAAAATGCTCGCACACGTTCATCATAATTTTTTCTTGGGTATTTTTAGTGGTAAACAAAATATACGGGGTCGGTCAAAAAGCAGATATCGATACCAAAAAGAAAATATTTTCCTATTCTATGCCTATCTCTTACTTTTTATCAGCAAAATATTAAAAAACAGAAATTCAATGTTGCAATGTACAGATAAGTAGCTAGTAATAGTAAAGTCCTTAAATTGACATTATCTGACCATTAAAAAAAATGGATTTAAGTTGCGCTAAACTGTCTGCCGATTTAACTCAATGTGGATCTTGTAATGGGACGTTTAACAAATTTTAAAGTTCTTCTTGAGTTTTCATTTTGTGTCTCGTTTTTTATTTTTTTGCTCATAAATAGTGAGAGATGAAACATACTTGAAAATTGACATAGAATTGGAAAATGGATTTTAAAAAATGGTGTTTTATTTAAGGATCAACATCTACTTTTTGATCCAGCCTGTATATTTTTTATTTCCTGCAAAAAATATGATGGACGTGTGGATGATTTTTCTTTAAATCCTGTATCTGAATTTTAAATGATTTTATTCCATATTTTATTATTATTTTTTTACGTTCACTCTATAAATAAAACATATAAGTACGGTTATACACATAAAGTATTTCCATGTAATAACGAATATTGATTATTTGATTTTATCATTTTCATGACACGATGATGTATATTTATGCGTATTATTTAGAAACAAAAAATAAATCAGTATTTTGGTTTTCGTTACCTATTGATTTATTATTAATAATAATAATTAGAAAATTCATTTTCAACATGTGTACACCCAATTACAGAGAATATACACATAAGGGAAAAATAATGAAAATGCAACACAAAAACCATGGAAACTAATTACTCACACACGTACTCTGAGCAGTTATAAGCTCTGCGCATGAACCAAAAAAATGTCGACAATCTCACGAAGAGTGTATCCGCATTAATATCACAGGTGTCTGAAATAATGTTCAAGTTATCACACGTAAACATATAAAACATTTGTCCTAGGTGTAGGGATTTGGAATGGAATTTGGAATTAAATCTGGGGACATAAAATTTTACTTTGCTTAATGTTCACCGGACCATGTAAAAAGCCAGGCGGAAATTATAAAGAATTAATGTCCCCCCTAACCTTCAGAGATTATCTCACGAACCTGCCTAATAGTACCTGTTGGTCATCCAAATCCTCTATTGGGATATATAAAGGGTGTTTTTTTCGATGTATAGAACTTTATGTTGCAATAAAACAATGATGGATTATTCGATTGACATGAATTTTATTTATCCGAAAGATTATCTTGTGGCATTACAGTTTAAATATAATTTCTGGCATATGACCGCCACGGCTGGCGCGGATGTAGTCCAATCTGGACGTCCAATTTTCGATGACTTTGTCCAACATTTGTGGCCGTATATCGGCAACAACACGGCGGATGTTGTCTGTCAAATGGTCAAGCGTTTGTGGCGCCGCATAGACCAATGACTTTACATAGCCCCACACAAAGTAGTCTAGCGGTGTTAAATCACAAGATCTTGGAGGCCAATTCACAGGTCCAAAACGTGAAATTAGGCGGTCACCAAACGTGTCTTTCAATGTATCGATTGTGATGTCTTATTGAAACCACATCTTCTGGACATCATGGTTATTCAATTTAGGAATGAAAGAGTTAGTAATCATAGCTCTATACCGATCACCATTGACTGTAACGTTCTGGCCATCATCGTTTTTGAAGAAGTCAATTTTTCTGGATGTAACGGTGTTTCCACAGACACTTGAGGATTAGCTTCGCTCCAGTTTAGTTTGTTGACGTAGCCAATCAGCCAGAAGTGCGCTTCATCGCTAAACAAAATTCGCTTATGAAAATCGGGAACAACGGCAATCTCGTTTTGGGCCCATTCGATGAATCTACGCCTTACTTGATGATGGTTTGGCTTCAATTCTTGCACGAATTGGATTTTGTAAGCACGTAAACCAAGATCCTTCCGCAAAATGTTCCATGAAGTGGATGGACACAGATCAAATTCCTGTGCTCGATGGCGGATGGACTTATTCGGGTCTTCCCCAATGCTACGCTTTATAGCAGCAATAACTTCTTCTGTGCGCACCGTACGGCGTCTCTGGGGATGCGAGTTATCAATAAGAGTAAACGTGGTGCGAAAACGTTCCATGGTTAATCGAATTAACTGCTCTGCCAACTACCGAACTGAGAATAAATCACTTGACAGCTGTTAAGTCGGTCGCCATCTTGAACAATAATGCCAACTTAAAATTCTATACATCGAAAATAATAACCCTATATTATCTTTCTTCAAAACTGAGTATTTAAGTAATCGTCTCTGTATCAACTCCAAGCTATCAATATTGATATATTGGACGCCACAACAATGACCCATATCTTAAAAGTTGCCAACACTAATTGCTTAATATGAGGTGCAAAAATAAATCTGGAATCGAAGACAATCTCTCCAAGTCTTTAACTTCGCTTAATCGATTCAATACAGTTCGATTTATTACGTAATTAAATAAATTTATGTTCCGCTTTCTAGAGTAAGTAAGCACGTTACACTTAGAAATATTTGAACCTAATCGATTAACCATTCTGGTATGACATTAATATTATCCTGATGCAACAAGCAATCAATTAGATCATCAATAAAGACGATAAAAAGAACAGGTCCTACATTTGACCCTTATGGTACCCTCGATATGGGATGAAATACTAGGGAGCTAAACCGCTCGTATTGCACAAGACGTCTACGATTTAATGGGTAGGATTTCGGCAAGTTTGTTAACGACAACGCTATGCCAACATTATGAATGAAAATTCATATATAGTACATCCGTCTGATCTAACTCACATTCGCATAAATATTAAGTCGACGTTGCTAGATTGCTTGTGCACCACTTATTAGAAACAAAACCGTCGTGCTCAGCACTAACATTATTCTTAAGACTGAAATAAATGCAGTCACAAACTATAATTGCGAAGAGTTTGGAAACATCGCGTAGAAGCGATATGGGCCGATAATTTTCAAAACAGGAATAACTTTGGCAATCGTATTGAATATGTGAGTAAGTGGACGAGGACGCTGATACAGTTCTTAACAAAGAGGCTAGGGATGCCGTCAGTACCGGCTGTTGGTGTATCTTTCAGTTTTTTCG